CAAATTCAATAAATTTTTTTTTAAAATAATTCTACAAGTTTGTAAAAATTATTTAAAAAAAATTTTATTAAATTTGGTCAAGTTTTCATCTAGTTACTCTTGTTTAAAGTCATAAAAAAATTTTATTATAAAAAATTTGCTTGATTTCTATTGACCCACCCCCATATATAAATTCATTCTTATAAAAAAATTTATCACTTTAATATGTCAAAATAATAATTCAGTTGCTATTAACGATTGTTTAACTTCTTCAATTAAAAAAAATTCTAATTTCGATGGTTGGCCTTGTGCAGAAACATGGGATGCGATTAGTGTTGCCTGCTGCAAAGTCGCAACTCAATATTTACAACTTGTTTACCATATTTTCGCGTATTAACGCGCAGGGGTGTAATTTCAAATTTTGGCCCAAATTAAGCTTAATTCGGGCCAATATTCGAAATAACGCTCATGGAGCGTTATTACGCGAAATACGGTATGTTCATAAATATTATTACCGATGCCACATTCTATTGCGACGATAAGTTGAAACCCTAGTGACGCAATAAAAAATTTGCACTTCATATTTGCAGCAAAGAATACTAGATGCGAAAAAAAAACTTATTCTATTCAAAACATTGGCAAAGAGGAGCATCGATAATGGAATGACATATTCGATGATGACGAGTCTTATATTATGAGTCAAAATATTTCCATTTCTGTTTTACTTCAATGAATTCTAATAGCTTTATGGCTTTTAAAACAAAACTAAATATCGAAGACATAGCAGACCTTACTTTATATATGAGCTAGGTGCTGAGAAAAGGGACCAAATTAACAAAACAAAAGATCTTTGGAAAATCAATTTTTATGTTGTAAATCTTATAATAAATCATAAGAAAATACAAACTTTAAAGAGCAATATAACAAAATTTTATTAATACAACTACTTTTGTATCTTAAGTAAAAAATGATTCTAATCTTATTCTAAATTGATTTATGTAAAAAAATATCTTTTGAAAAAATAGTCAATTTGGTCCCTTTTCTCAGCACATAGCCCAAATGATCAGACCAACCGTCTAATCTATATTTATTTTGATTTCGGATATTTTACCCATTTTTACATTTTCATATCCATTAACAGATTTTTTACAATAATAATTGATACATAATGCTTTGTAAAGTATTCAAATTTCGTGCATGTATAATAGTTCTAATTCACATTGCAATATGAATTATACAAATACTACCTTTGCTCCTAAATTAATTTTTAGTTCAGTGACAAAAAATAGAAATATGATATAATGTAGTGGAATAAGTGTTCATAGGTAAGAAAAATTTTATGTTATTGAGTTTTCATGCCTTTTCTTTTTCTTATTTGGTATAAAAAATTCAAATGCTACAGTGCTTTATTGTTTTTATCCCTATTATCATATTCGCTATATGTGTATATGTATTTTAAATTGATCTATAAATTAAACGCCTCTTTGAATATGATGTATGAAAGTGCTGCTCCTCAGACAGACACGCTAAAGGTTAAATATTTAATACATATAAGACATTTCAGAAGTTTTAGACTTTAAGAAACAAACACAGTCAGGTTATGAAAACTATTCATTTCCAAAAAAAAACTTTTGGTAGATTGAAAAATAGATATGCATCTGGACAATGTCAACTCGTTCTTGAATAAAGCATAATACAAAACGATAGAAAAGAAAAGCAATATGTAAGGTTTAAGGCATATGATGAAAGTAACAATAGCCCATGGTGATATTTGAGAAGTTTTAAATGACCAACATAATATTATCATGATTTGCAGTTCACCTATACGTTCAATTCACTATTGTTGTCAGATTATATGATTGTAAAATGAATTATTTCATAATTTTGTTAGCCGTAACTATGCTATACTCGCTAAAAATCATTGTGTATAACTGCGTAAAATTTTTGTAAATTTTTAATATAGAATACATAATTTTCAATAATAAGTCCGATAAAAGTAATTACATCAAAGACTGTTTCAGGTTAATAATAGGATCATATATCAGCTCAAAAAATAATTTCATTTTACTTGTAAAATGTTTATAATATGTTTATAATTATACAATATGAGAATGAGAAACATAAAATTAATTTTACATACATTATTTTATGTCGAAAATATATACTAATATTATGTAGTTAACATTAATCTAATATCGCTTTTTCGTGTTCTTGTTGTGTTCGTCTCTTTTGTTCTCTAATCGCATTTTCTTTATTTGATATGCGTTTGGAAGAAGCCTCCGAATCGTCGGCACCTGAATACTGATTTCTATTGAAATCTTCTGCCTCATCTTCATGCCGTCCATATACAGCCAATACATAAATTCCACGGCTCATATTTCGGAAGCAAATTATGGAATAAATAACAGTAATTAATACAAGAACGAAAGTTGTAGCTAAAAAAAAGGTTAGGAGTCGTCGAGTAAATTCGTACGGATCTAATTGGAAAAAAATAATAATAAAAAATTAAAATGGGGAAGAATAGACGTTTTATGAAATTGATTTGAAAAAAGAAAAACAATACCATCTCCATCTGATACAGGAAGATTAATCGTTATAAGTCGATAAGCCCAGTAAATCAACGATATAGAATAAAGATTAATCGCTGATAACAAAAGATATTTCTTTTCCATAATGACGGAGAACAAAGCTATTAACAACATGAGAGTACCAAGAAAAAAGACGAGGGCAATCTCCACTACTGTAGAATAATAACCAATTTTTGGAGAAGGTATTAGTTGTAAGGCGTATGATCCAATAAAGAATATGTCCAATTTAATCAAAGCCTGCAAAATTTTTAGACTCCAAACTGCGTCGCGGACTCGAATATCAGCAGAATAAATTTTATAATTTTCCCAACCAAATTCTTTGGTGAGCTTGTAAGACATGAAAGATAAATATATAGGAAAAGCAGATATTAAGCCAATGATTGTATATTCGATTGGTCTCATCCTAGCTTCATAATAAAATTTTGGTGCATCCCTATTATCTTTAGGGAAAATAGGATTAATTGGCGCGTATGTTGCATTCTGAGTGCCTTTATCTTCGAGAATCTCGTGTTGATAAAGTTGTAATCCTGCATATGCTAACGAAAGAAGATTGAATATTACAAGGGCTACTATTTCGACAGAATTACGATGCCAGAGAGCATCAACTACTAAAAGTACTTGAAAGAATAATGAAAAAATAAATCTTGGAAATGGTAAAAGAAAAAAATTAGTTTTTTTTTTTTTTTAAAAAAAAAATTAACACTGAATTACTTACATTGAATGATAAATTAAGTCGGCCTCAGATATTCCTTCACCAACTGAATTCAATTTATATTGAATGACAAAATTGACATGGAAATAAATAACAAAAGCTTCTAAGATGGTGACTATTATTGCTTGCGAAATGATAGAAATAAGCGTGATTTTGCCTATAACGGATAGCTTCCACATTTTTTATATAATTGATGAAGAATGAAATAAAATTTGATGTTATTGCTTGAAGTGCTTTTAATGTGATTTATTAATGTGCCTTATGAAAAAAATGAAGGAACTCTCGTAACAAAAGAATCCATCATGTAAGATGATAATTTTGTGGTATTTATAATCTTGCCAGGAGTTATTGGGCTAATGATGTGTTTTTTTGGCGTTATTAGTCGTTCCGACAAAAATGGCTTCGTGTAACCGATGTTTAGGGTTAGAGTTGGTCGAAAAAGGTGTGTTAGATTTGGCTGAGCAGTTACAGATAGTTGGGTAATTTTGTAAATGTAATTTTAGTGAACTCAAAAATGCGTATATTGTATGGTATATTATTTTGTAATAAAGACAACTTTGGCTTTTATTATGAGCAAAACTGGAATATCCTTTTCGAAGGGCCAGAATGGCATTTATTTATAATAATGAAACTATCATCTCTATGCATTTAATTGTTATAACCGTTATAAGCTCCATTATCTTCGTTATCCTTTCTATATGTCTTATATCGCCTATACGTTATATGGGTTGTCGCTCAATTCCCCGAAAGCTATATACATTTCTCTGACACCGCAATGCCGACATGATATTTCATCTACAGCACATTTTTCGATAAGACATATTTTCGACATTACATATTTTTCAACAATACTTTTCTTAGATAGGACATTTCTCTGACATCATTTGTTCGACATAAAAGTTGACCCGATTTAGATTGATTTAGAGTTAGTGTTGATTAGGATTATATGTCGGGAAATTACTGTCAGGAAAATGTCTTGTCTAAGAAAAGGGTTGCCAAAAAAATGTAGTGTCAAACATATGCCTTAACAAAAAAATGTGCTGTAGATGAAATATCATGTCGGTATTACGGTGTCGGGTAAATGAGTTGGAAGGCAAATAATTTTCGGGGAATCGTTATACGTATGTCATATGCTATATATTAATATCGGCAATACAAACATGGTTAACCCTTTTTTTGGATTGGGTCACGTTTTCGGTCTGGCAGCAGTTTGACTATTCCTGATTAAGAAATATATAAGTATCTGCGTGATGTTGTGACGCAAAACCAAGAACGGAAAGTATGATTTCATATTTACGAATAAATGAGTACTATATACTACAAAATTTGCAGTATTGAGTAAAAAAAAAAAAATTGAAAGGATCTAATACTACTAAAACACTATACGCTAACTCCAACTTTATCAATTATTTATGCAACCTGTAAATGCAAATAGTTAAAGTTATAAACTAACAAATTAATATTCTTTAAACTCACGAAAATTAATGCGAATACGGTAAACAAATCAAATAGTAAATATTATGAATAGCTTATTTAAATATTTAGATTAATGAATATTCTTTATCTTTATGGAAAATTCTAATTGTATACGTAATGTAGGGACTCGGCTGCGTACTAAATTAAAAATCCGTGTAACATGCCAATCAAACCAATTTTTATGAGCGTAAAATTAAGGGTGGTTTGGAATTGAGAGGGATTAATTTATAACAACATTTCGCGAGAAATTTTTTTTTCTGCTAGAACTCAAAAGGTTATTTCATGATCGAAATTTTAAGATAAAGACAATTTTTTTTAAAAAAAACGATAATTTTATTTTACACCTGATCGTGCAATATGATTTATAATACCTGACACGCAGCGTACAAATAGAAATTCTCAACCGATTGAAATTAAAAGTAATTACTCATGAATAACATGGTTTAAATACTTAGAAATAATAAAAGGTTTTTGATACTAAGTGCAAATGAAATTAAATATAAAATGTCTTTGATACTAAGTGCAAGTGAAATTAAATAGTAAATACGTACCGCTAATACCTTTTTTATCGTTATTTATTTAACCCTTTGGCATGATTGCCGCGGGATCGTAGGACCGTCTGTTTATTTATCGATTTTGTTTTACGGGCATTCTAATTTTATAAGTTCCCGATACGTATTTTGTATTTTTTTGTCTATTTTAT